GAATCAACTTAACGGCCTGCTCCCAGTTGGCTTGCTAGCTCAATTGGTAAGAGCGCTGCACTAGTATCGCAGAAGTCAGTGGTTCGAATCCCGTTCAGGCCTGATTTTTTTCAGGTCTGATTTAGCTAGTACACAAACTGAAATTGTCGTAACATCTAAGTTGTCCCTAGCCAGTTGGCTAGTAAGTTGAAAAGTTAGTGTGGAGCTCACACAGTACAAGACATTTTTCTTAGATAAACTTCTACTGATGTGTGAATTAATCAGTTGAAAATATTGTACTAAAATATACTGCTTTTTTATATCAGTAATTCACAGATTGTTTGGAAGGAACAAAGAGAGTCATGGTGCACACAGTGGAAGAGAAGATTCTGAGGTAATTGGCCATTTTACAGTTGTGTACTTAGTTGCCAAGCCTTTGATTCAGAGTGAGGCTGAAGGTGACCTTGTTGTCCTGTATCTAGTTAGCATGATAACAAAGTGATTTACATTTGAAAGGCAGCAAGGTTTGTATCATAACAAGGTCAACCCTAGCCTCACTCCCATTCAAAGGCTTGGCAACCAAGCACACATCTGTAAAATGGACTATTGTAAAGTAGGATATTAAAAGAAAAAACCTTCACTTGTGGAATGAAATATTGTTTAGTGAATCAAAAATGATCTTTTTAAGTCAAATCTTGCTTTTATAGATTGAAGTCTTCCGCTAAAATTAACAACAGCAGTGTTTGACAATAGCTGCAAACAAACAGCCCCAAAACAGTTTCTTTTGAAACTATCAGCCTTTATTCATTTGACAATAACAGTATAGCAATAAAGTGCTGTAAATTTTATCTTTCACAGAACGAGGATGGTGGCTTGCAGTTGAAGTTGAATGTACCAACAACAAGGAACAAACAATTCTCTAAAGTCCTGGCTGAGATCCGAGAAAGAACTATGCCCTCGTCGTGAGTTGCACTATTTTCAATAAAAACATTACTTACATAAGAGTCTTCAGCAAAAATTTGTATATTGATTTTGTTGTTGTTGCTGTAATCAAGATAATTGAAGAAAAACTATTTGGAAATGGAAGAAAAGCTGCGTTTTGTTAAATGCAATTTTGTAAGTCACATGGTAAACTTCCAAACTTTGTGTAGAGATAGCAACTCTTGTACCTGTGCAAGTATTTGCTTTACAGCTTAAAAGTCTTTTTCTTTTGAGAAGCTCAAAATGAATTCATGAAAACACATCAAAATGATAAGTTTTCCTCTTTTCCCTAGGCTCGGCAGGCGCCGCAGCAAAACACAAGAGTCTTCGACATCAGACTCCCGTAACAGCGCTGATAGTGATGGCGGACAAGGTCGGCCTCGGGGTGCTGCTTCCGCCGTGAGCTCTTCTAGTGGTACTGGGTCAGAGATTCAAACGAGAGGGAGAAGCGGTACAGCATTGTCCTTGAATGAAGATGACTCTGGCGAAGTAGATTCGGTTTGTAAAAGGGTTTTTCTTTCTTTTTTTTTCCTCTAATTTAATCTGCCTTTTGGTGACTTTTAAGGAGAGGAAGTAATGTTTAAGTCACGCGTGTACAATGTTTAGGTACACGTTATTTCTTATATGTAGCGAAGATGCTAAAAATTTAGTGCTTTCATTTCGAGATGATCTTTACCTCGGCCCATGCCTCAGCACTAATGAGAGCCTGCATGTCTACGGGCTGCTGTAAAGAGTAAAGATTTAACCAGGTTTCCATTACAACGGGCCAATAATACCTTGGTTTGTACTCTTGGTGAGACGGAGGTACTGTCGCAAACCACAGTCATGCCACAACCAGAGCAAGAACCCAGGCCTCTTAATCCGCCGTAGGTCACACCAGGAAAGTTTTGTCGTGAACCTTTTTTTGTTGCTAACAATAATAATTCTGTTGATTTGCAGCTTGATGGAACGTTTAGTTCTCAAGATAAGGACTATGAGGAAGTGGATGGGCAGATAATCGACTCAGAGGTAACTGCATTTGTATAATAAACAACGCCACGATTTTGTCAATCTTGATGTTTTACGATATGAAAAACTACAACTTACTTTAATTAACGTTAGAGGGGCTACAATATATCAGTCCAGTAAGATGTAAAAACAAAGAAAAGGCAATAATAAGCTAAGAAAGAGCAATGATGGAAAAGATTGATACGGGTTGTAAATAACTACGCGTAGAAAAACCCAAGAGTGATTGGCATCCAATTTCTCCTTACAATATCATATCACCCTTGAATCGCATATTAAGGTCATGAGAATAATGAAAATGGTCACCAACTAAAGAAGCTGTTGATTGTTACACAAATTCTCCTTGTCAGCACCTTAAGAAATATGCAGAGAACAGTATGGAGAATATGCATGCTGATGTCATGGTGTAAAGGGTTAACGTCAAGGAGGAACAAAGGGACTGCGGCTGAAAGAAAAACAAAACAAAACAAAACAAAAACAAAATTCTATAATAGTAACATTTACACTACCCCTACGTTACTCGTGATATTACTAAGAAACTTATTGTGTTCTTGTGAGTGCTTTACATCATTTTTATTGTTTTTATTGATTTTAGAAACGTAAACAGCAGGTGGAGCACTTGAATTTCAAGATAAGGATAACCAAGGAACAGATTCGACAGTTACAGGAAGAGAGAGATGGTACGTGATCTTTTTTCCTAACATCCTTGCTCCTCCACACTCTCGATCGCAAAAATGTTGAAACCTGAGAAGCATGAATCCTAAACGATGAGACAAAACAGCTTTATAGATATACTTCTGTGAAAACCAAAATAAATTGCGCTCAAGGAATGATGGAATACAATAGTGTTGTTCATTATAAGAGTAACTACCAGGACTTTCGAGAAATGGGCCCCAGGTCACCAGTGTCAGCTCGCGCCATGGAAACTTTCCTTTTTTTTTTTCAGGCGGCATCTCTGATCGATATCTCAGTTCGTTAGCTTTTTGTGTTCACGATCTTTCCCCTGTTACAAGTTCAGTTTTGATTTGATGGTGTGATTTTGAAAAGCTGTCTCCCTCATATGCTAGAAGAGAGATCACTACGCGTAGCAAATCCTCGCAAAGTGCGGATGGGCTTTCCCATAAGAAGTTTTTTCAGTTACACAGCGGGTCATATTTCTCGTTACAGAGTATGTGAAAGAGTACCTGGAATCGACGGAAGGTGGCTCACAAAAATCTAAGTAAGTACTTACCCGGAGTATCCGCGAATGGCCAATTTACCATTTCAACTTTGTTGATATATCCAAATTATTTCGTTACTCCCACCGACGCAGCCCCAAACAGTTTCTTTCGAAACTATCACCTTTATCCGCGAATCATTCTCTCCTAAATTCTCGGTTCTTGTTCTTTGACGTGACGTTTCCAAAAAGGACCCAATCCTCATCGAGAAACGTCAAAGCTTTTTGAAGACGTTTTCTTCAAGCAATTAGCCAAACACAAGTGGGTTAAGTAAGAAGAAGCAAGCAATGATCTGCAAGAATACCTTAGCGACATTGCAATTGTTCCGAGTTGATGTATTTCGAATGACTGACGGGCTTTGCGTGGAGACCTTTGTCGTGACAATTGATTCAAGATGTAGAAGAGCTGAATTGTAGCGCTTTTGACAAGTGACGAAACAATCACCGATTTAGAAGAGCTTTTTTCAAGTGTTAAATGTAACGAAAAATTCAAGGTAGCTAATCAGTCATCGTTGCCGTCCAAGCTTGTTAGTACTCGTTCAAAAATATCACATCCAAGAATTCCACTCGTGCACTGCTGAGAAAATTCACGAAAGAAAAGTCATGGAAACGGGAGGAGTTTAGCCGCTGGAGGAAGCCTCTTTTGCTCTAATTGGTAATTGTGCACAAAAAATTTGTCATTGAGCCTCGATTTGATGGACTTGACTAATTTTTTTTTTCTTTTTTTTTTTCTGGCTCTCGTCCAAAAGATATCTAACAAGTGCAATTCATGTGAGGTAGGACGCGTGACGCTTTGCCATAGTGTCTCACGCGTTGTGCATCACTGGGACAGTATCAATCTTTGCGATCAAGCGTTCGATACAGTGTACTGTGTGGAACCTAATTAACTTCCTTTCCTTTTAGAGCTGTCTTCGAGAAGAAAAACCAGAAAAATAATACGCTTGTGGCTCAACTACAGAAAAAACTGGAGAAATATCACAACACGTTAATAGTGAGTATAAATTACTATCACAGCGTTTGAACAAGTGCAGCAATTTCGTGTGACTTGATTACAAGCCTTTCCTGCGAAACACTCAGATTCTTGGAATTTGTTGTGTAACATTTAGGCTTTTTCGGTGAAGGGCGCGGTTCTGTTGTCTCAAGGAGGGGGTTTGCTACAAGCACAAAAAACGGTTAAATTTCTTTGGTGCAAGTTTCCCCTCAAGCGTATTTTGTTCTTCAAAATATCTGGAATATTTTTCGATCCGGTTTTGATAAGGGTAAAGTTCAATCAATCAAGTTTGTGCCTGTTTGTTTTTTGCTATTAATTGAGTTATAATTATCATATGCGTGGTTTTCAACTTTGGTCATCACTCATGATGAGACAAAGATGACTCTCCGACATTTTTGTCGTCTGGTTTCTAAGGTTGATTATGGAACAGTGCATGTCTTCAATAAAGATGGTAAAAACATTTCCCTCAATATGGGACAAAGATAAAAAAAATATGCGCTCTGTATGACGATTTAAGTTTCGTTGTGTTTTCTTCTCGCGGTCGAACGCACTATTATCTGGGCTGTAAAGATCTGAGTCACGAGATAAACCATATATTAGGTCCATATGTGTCAAGTGTTCTGTGTACTCTTAGGATCAGCGCTGTGGACACTACACTTTTTAATGTGATAACTGAATGATTTAACTTCATTGCAGGAACTGGAAATGAATGGTGCAGCCCCAAGCGGACACATCGCTAAAGAAGTGTTCAAGTAGGTCAAAAGTTACAATTTCTCTGTGAAATTTCTGCTAGTCGTAAACCAACTTGATATCGTCGCTACCAGTTTTACTTTAAAACGTCCCTTCTTAACAGGGCACATTCCTTAGCTTTGTTTAATTTAAGAGGCACTTAAGAGTCAGCCTGTGGATTTTTCGTCGCAAGTTTATAGTGTGAAGAGCCATGATCGATTTTCATTTCTTTGAATTAAGATAAATTCCAGCAATTTCCTGTCGATGAAAACACACACACAAAATCGATAAGGAACATATATTTGGGAGTTACGAACTTCAGCAAAACACATTATTTTTTTGTTATGTTCTTTTCCTATCTCTTCTTTTTTATTTTCGTCTTTGTGTAGACATCATAGACAGCGTTAATAAGGTGACAGATCACGTATCAGCGAGAATGTTGGAAATAATCGCTGATACGTGATGTTTTAACAAATTTTCTTTTGAGAAAGCTAGTGAAATTAAACAGCCGTCATTGTCATTTTCGTAAAACAAGGTCACGGTAAATCAGATTGATTTCAAGCGAAGAGTTGATACAAAAATATTTTCTTCATGTGTAACGTCCCCTCCCCCGACATTCCAAAGTTCGTTTCCCCCCCCCTCCCCCTCCCCCCTCCTCATCCAAATCCTGCAGGCCGAAATAAGCACGTTTTATTTCTTCCGGTATGTTTTTGTGGAGGTCTGCTATCTATTGATAATCAAGTCTGACATGTGGGCCCTCTATTTTTAAAAATTCTTCAAGTATATTAGCATCTGAAGGATTTCTAAAGGGATTTTCTTCTCTTATCGTTAATCCCAAGTTTTGACAAACTAGTCTTTTTTTTTTTTATTTGTTCGATTTTCCATACAAATTAACGTTGAAATGTTTGGAAAGCATCTGAGATCCAAACTATTGTACTAGTACCTAGTATCGATAGGAAGACACGAAAAACAAAAGGAACTTTAACCAAATGATATTTTCGAAAGAAAATTAAAGTATTAATATTGGTTTAGCGAATGTCAAGAAAATGTCACTGTTGTCACGAATGCTTTTGAAAATATCATTTAGGTGATGTTGTAAACTGCATGGTGTGTTTCTCCTCGAATAACAGACGTTCCATTCTTTTGTTGAAATTTTCCGCAAGTCACGGACATAAAACGGCCATCTAAATGGAAAATGATGGAAATGACATATTTGAAAAATTGACATATCGCATCCATCGTCTAGAAATATCGCCAGAAGAATCAGGGAGGTTTTACTTTCCTTAGAGTTTGTTGTGTTTTGTGTCTCGAACGCCAAAACTGATGATGACAGTTTAAAATTTTATTAAGGCTTTGAGCCAACGCTTAAATAAAATTAATTATCGCCAGAACATCTGTAAGGTTTAAAGGAGACTGACAGTGTGGAAACATTTTGTCCCTTCAGGGGTCGCCTTTGCTCTGGAAATTTTTATTTCGAAACCAAAACATCATGGAATGATTATTTTTAGCCTGGTAGCCGGTCGTTTTGTTTTTCTTGTACGAAATTATTTTCTTCCCTTGGTAACTTTCGCGGTTATTGTTTATTTACTGCTCAAGCTCTCCAAACCGAGTTAATCTTTATTAGACAAAATTATAAAGAGTGGTTGTTTTACGCGACAGCGGTCCGCAGTATGCAAATTCACCACGCTGAATATTGCATATATTATCAGAATAGTAATTTTCTTATATTTGGAAGTTTCGGAAAGTGAAGGAGGACTCGAAATTCACACCTCTTCTCGTATTTACCTTTTAAAGTGGACGGAATTTTCATGTCATCGTCGTTCATTTTATGGCGACTGTGAAACCTTCGCGGTCTCTTCCAAAGATCTCCGTGAATGAAACTTCTGGCCGTGAGATTGTTCAGCCGGCGTTGCTGTCGCCTAAGTGCGGTAGAAATCTTTGGACGACCGTTCATAAACACAGGTCGTGTCTCTGGCCGTAAGTCCTCCACGATCACGATTGTGCGGATTTGTGTGTTGTGTCGTACAAAAGCTGTACAATTTCCTAGCCGAAGTATCGTGTTTAGTTATGTGTATGCTTTCTTGATTTACGACAAACGGATAGTAGTCCCTTAAGCGATGTATTCACAAAGAGGAGGAATGGAAATTACTATAATTACAATGTTGGCCAGGCGTTCTAAAAAGTAGATTATGTTGCAGATATGTCATTTGGATGATAATTACGGTGCGTTCGAGAGCATGTAGATTTAGTGCGAAAGTTTTGTTTCTGACCTGTCTGACTTTCGATTTTGCTCTCTCGGCAACATTAGTTTTGTGGCCGTCTGTGTTTATTTTACTCAATTCTTTGTTTTAAAAATGGTATATTATTTTTTGTAAGTCTAGAATTTTTTGTGATAATTTAAAATGATGAAAGAGTCATTTAGAATTTTGTGTTTGCTGAGACAGAGTTAGAGATTAGCTGATTTCATATCCACTTTTCATTGCTTCAACACCTTCGCATTTTGTTTACACGAAATGACTTCTCGGTGTTTACAATTATGTCCCGTGACACCACATCTTGGTTTAAAAAGACTGAAAGCAGCTTTCCTAACTCAATAACTTCATTACCAAACAAAAACGTATGACCATTTGCTTGGAATATTTTCGAGTTAAATTTTTGTGGGTTTGTGATCCACGGTCAAAGTTCCCGCAGGGCCTTTAAAATGTCGCAAATAAAACGCCGAAAAACATTTCTTCCCTTATTCAACGGTCTTTGTGCTGGAAATCATTCGGTAAATCCATCTATGAATCAGCTGCCATGTATAGTTCTACCTGTGCATATCTCAAATTTGAAGAGATTTCGCCTCCTTAAGAGCGCTTCTTGAACAGAAAATTTCTCGATTCTCCACAAACTGAGACTTAAAGCTTTGCAATATATATATTTTTTGAACGATCCAGGGCAATAGAACTGTTTATAAGCTTTCTGTTCGACACACAGCTGTAGCGAATTTTTTGCGGTGTTTTTTTGTCTGAAACGCGACGGGGTCTCCATATTGTGATCTTACACCATGAGTCTTATTTATCTTTACATTTTTTTGTTTGTTTGTTTGTTTCAGGGGGGTCAGAGACGGAGTGAAAGGGTAAGAAAGGATTTTTACTTAGTTCTTATTAACCGAGCGGGAGGTCTGTATGGGAGAATCTTGACCGAGGTCGCCAGTACAGACCTCACTGCGTTCGGTCTGTACCAGCGACCCAGGTCAAGATTCTCCCATACATACCGACCTAGCTCGGTTAATAAGATGTTTATTATATGGCTGTGTCTTGTATGCCAATTCTATTATATTCTTTGTACCTTTTTTTT